AGTGGATGAATGTTTATGGAGTTGATCACACAACCTGCAGGTTTTCGAATATTGGCTTGTAGGGATTTGATTGGCTGATTACAGGATTTATCATGAGCTGACATCGGCTAGGGAACCATTGGAAAATCCTGTATACCAATCAATCAAATCCCAACAAGCCAATATTTGAAAATCAATGAGATGCTCACTGGCGACTGGCCGTATTCAGCTAGGTTGTTACCTGGTGTTCTAGTGGAATGTCATGACCAGCAGGATGCACCAGGTTGAATGTGAGGACAAATGTTCAACGAAGACATTGGCTAGTGGTCATGCTAAGTCGGAATCCATTCACTGGCCATAGGATCGGGTCTCAGTGGCTAAATAGTCTACGAGCTAGCTCGTTAGGCTTGTAACCAGAAGGTCTGGGTTTGAACCCTAGCGGTGGTCGCGTACTGATGAATTGTCTCAAACTAGTCGGGTGAAACGGCTGTTAAGTACTCCATGCAGGTTTTCCAATAGTTCTCTAACCGATGGCAGCTCATGATGAAATCATGTAACTAACCTGAGTTTTATTGGCTAAACCCCAGGCGGTATCATTGTTGTTCTCTGAAGAAACGTGATCCGTAGTTTTTAATGACCTCTGACTGTGATCTGATAATTTAATATGAGAAAAATATAACACCGTACTGGACGACATTTTGAATTTTGAAATGATAGGTGTTGGAATCAAGTCCCGGTTGGATCAATATCATCATTCACTGAGACGCAAATGTATCCAGGTGAAAAGCCTTATTATAGGAAAAAAGACACTTATCTTGTTTTCCATTGTCTCGCTAACTGTTACCAGTCGGATAGTAATGATATATATTTATTATTACTCCCTTTAATTCCCAGTAGAACATACAGCCTCAACAACACATCTCCATCTCACTGTGTTCTATACAGTCCTCCTTAGGTGGCTCTACAGTTGCCTAGAAGCACTCATTTTCTCTTCACACTATCTACCGTAAATCATACTTGAATTCGTAGCTGATCATTTCTAACTCGGGTTTCCCGGGCTCGTAATGTCACTCAGCGGTCTCCTCAGTGTGAGTCCAATTTATCTCCTTTTCTCTCTCTGCATAAATGCTGAGCCATATGTTCTTGGTTGGTTCACTGAACTAACAGAGTTCTTTGTTGCCAATGCATCCCAGTCGGCTATCTGATCTTTATCATGGAGTTAATGGAGGCAGCTGCTGATGAAAGTCTGCAAACTCCCAGAAGTGCTTTCCGAGACACACACCGAATCTCCGAAGTGAACAGAAGCACTGAGTGACATGTAATTAGAGTTGAAAATCTGAATCCTTTTTCCATATGCTGAGTGCAATAGTGCAGTTCCACGCTTATTTCAGAGTAATAAAAGTTTATCTTTCCTTTCAGATGCTCATTTGTACCGGCCGTAGTTAGTCAATTTTGCCTAGATAACTTGCTTCAAGTTCCAGTCATTGATAGTGACTGATGAGTAGTGATATAAATGCCCTTCTTTTTCCTGTAACACAATACAACACTATATTTCTTTAGACATCTATTAGTAAAAATAAAAACGCTACTACATTGGCTTCATTCGAACAGATTCCCTTTCCATCACTCGACATTTCATCCTTAAGCATGATATCACATCTAGAATACAAACCCTGTTATATTTATTAACTCCATGTAAAAATCAAAAGTTGTACAAACTACTGTACGTCTAAACAGCCTGTGAGACACGATAGAAGCATTCAGATATATTGAATTATGCTTCTTTCATTTAAAAAAAAACAAGCATCAAGAATGATAGTTGTAATCCAAAGTTCAGGACATTTTTTTACCATATCTTTAGGTTCCGAGTGGGACAAATGGTTTCAGGCTTTGAGCTTTGAAGTCTACTTAGCGGCAGTGTTATTGTTTTAACTAGGCTGGCGAAGGTTGACTGCCTAACTTTCAACCTTTCCTCTTTTCCAAGCTTCCTACCGTGTTAGTGGAGTTATGGACTACGCTAGCTAGCAATCAAGACTTCAAGACTTACTGACAAGAAATAGTAAATGAAGAACATCTGTGTGGTAGAATGAATCCTCTACTTTGCTTTCAAGAGACTCAGTGATTTCATTAACATCCTAGTTATCACCTTTAATAATAATCGCTTTATTCTGAAAAAATGTGTTGACACACAATACAGAACTTCCGACGAGTTTCTTATTGTAAGGTATTTACTCCTTGTTCAGAATCTTGAAGTAATGTAATAAACAATAATAGATCAACTAAAGCGATATAGTTTTATCCGAAACATCCTCTAATTATCCTCAGGGTCTCTCCTTCATCTCCGTGAGGAAATTTGTAGCAGTGGGTTGAAACCTATTTGAAAATATTAATGAGTATACACTGTGATTCTTAGACATAATCGTGCATTGGAACTGGAGTAAACAGAGTGTAATTACGTGGATAAACATGAGCGTGGATAAACACAATGAGCGACGATCACATAAGGAAGAGAATCAGAATTAGAGCTCAGTAAGAGCGTGTATTTAGTACAATGGCAAAAATTATAGAGTGCGGGTCAAGCCCTCAAAAATAAAAACAATCTAGCTGTCATCATTGATAGTGAGTTCTGATAGACACCCTGCTTCTTGCCTCACAGAATAGACTCCTCAAAAAAGAGAGAGAAAGACAACAGTGTTAAGTACTTATTTTGTTACAAACAATTTAGGTAGCATAGTGATTTAAGCAGGCCACCAATGAGATCCTAAATCTCTGGAACTTGTTTTAATCAAACCCTTGTAAATAACAGTCACATAAAAAACTAACACAATCTCTACTTAACGAAACACAAGCTGAGGAACACTGTTAATCGATAACCAGAATGCTGTGTTGCCTATATTCTCCGAAATTCAGCGGTACCCATACATATATATATATATATATATATATATATATATATATAAACCAACTGTAAACAGTTTAATTAATTCTAAATGCTAGCGATACATTTTTGTCCGTAAAAGCCAACTACAAAATGGCTTAATATTCAAAAACAAGTACAGTGTGTACCGGTTAGATAATTCCCAACTGCAGAGAAGCCAGTGCACACACAGACACACACACAAACAAACAAATCAACAGATAAACAAGATAGTTCATAGACAAATGAAAAACAGTTTCTTCAGGTAGTAAACACACATAAATTAACCAGTGAATTAGAAAATAAGTAAATAAATAAATAAAACTTCCTCTTCAGTGTTATATTTTATTTCATCTGATTATATGAAACGGAAAGGCAGGAGGGAAAGAAATATGCGTTGGTTGAATAGGAAGAAATTTTTTAAAGCTGGGCCAGTAAACATCATCAGCGCTGATTTTATATCCCACTAATTATTTGTACATAAATTTTATTTTTTAGAAAAATCAGTAGGAACTAGGTAAATCTGAAGGAATAAAAAGAACAGTAAATGGATAGATCATACGCATATTCGCCTTTTCAAATAGACAAAAATACTGACGTTCACTGGAGCTGTTGAAAACAAAGATGTTTGCTTTCAGTACTAGTTCTGTTAGCCCTCTAGCATCTTAATTGCTCAAACTCTTGTATTTCGTTTGAAAATAATAAACCAAGGGTTTATTGAGAAGAAAAAATCACTGAAAAAAAGATAAATTAACAGCATAGACAGTGCCACATTTCTTGGGAAGAGTTCCCATCTTAGTGTAATGCTAGCTGAACTTGTAAACTTCATGTAAATGGCAGCTTTATTATATTATTATTGCTCCCTTGGATTCCTAGTGGAACATAGGGCTTCAATTGCACGTCTTCACTTGCCACTTCTGTCTTCCTTCTGCTGTACTTTTCACCTGCATCCATCCATGTTAGTCCATACCCTTTCAACTCCTCTTCACACGATCTCCGCCATGTCACCGTCGCACTGACGTCTCACTCGCCGCCTCCCTTTCGGCCTCCTTCCACTCGAGCAATGGCCTACGTTACGCGCCAGCGATGTCACCCAGCGGCCTCCTCATCGAGCGAGTGTCCAATCCATCTCCACTTTCTCCTGCATATTTCTTGGTTGGCGATTGCTTCTTGTTTTTTGTTTGTTTCTTCCCATAGTTTCTTGTTGTTGGTGGTTCTTTCCGGCCCGGCCATCTGATCTTCAGTAGAGATCCAGCGAAGACAGTTGTTGGTTGATGAAGGTCTGGTCTGTAGAATTTAATTTATTGTTATTGTACCAACTGGATGCAATACTGTAGTAAAAATGCTGAGAATTCCATTCTGTATCACAAATACTGTTTGGGAATAAAGCAAATTAATATTATTATTATCTTTAAAATCTTGTAGTATGTATTAAAGCTTTCACTTGAATAAAACTATTATTATTTATCAAATGTTAGTTTGTTGAAATTTGATAGATTGCAGATTTGAACACGAGCTGAGATCAGCTACGGAACCATCAGAAAACTAGCAAGGAGTACTGGACAGCTATTTCTTCCCAGTCTAGGGACTGTTCCTAAGCTAATGGAGTGTATCTCAGTGACAGAATAGCCAATGAGCTCGCCTTGTAACCAGAAGGTCCTGTATTCGAACCCCAGCCAGTGCCTATTGTTGAATAGTCTCAAACTAAAGCGAAACACCTGTTCAGTACTCATCGGCTTTCCACTGTTTGTGTAAATGTTATTAGCTTGTGGAAAAATGTGCAGTTATTACTATTTGGTGGATGATGACAAACAGGGGAACCTAGAATGTGCGCTTCGTTTGATATACTAGCATCTCCGGTGGGTAATAATCCTTCCACCTGAGAATTGAACCCATCCCCAGGATAGTACAGACGCCAAAGTAACTGGGCCATGACAGGCACCTGTTGTGTACCGAGTACAAATTATTATTTGTTGTCTGAGGCAGATCAACATATTAAACTTAAACTGCACACTTCAGTCCAATATAAAATTCACTAGTAGGAAAGACAAAATATAACTTAAACCTAATAATTTTTTCCCAAATTTTTTTTTATTTTAACAAGATCCTGAACTATTCAAACTGAATCATGAAAACACTGGAGCAAACGTTGAATTAGACGGGAAAAATAAACAAATGATTCCTCGAAGCAAAAAGGTTAGTAAAGTGTTATTTCCTGTATTGTTGCTTTCTACTTCTGTTAACGAAACAAAACTCGTCGTTTGACATTCGAGTCCAACTCAACAGTCTGGCGCACCAAATAACTCAACGGTCTCATCAGTGTTCAACTGATCCATCTCCATTGTTTCTACTTATTTGTTCAGCAATAGGTTCTTCATTGGATCGTTCCCATAATTTCTTGTTGGAAATCCTTTCCGGTAAGTCATCAGATCTTCAGCACGGAGTGAAGACCGATATCCATGATATTCTGCAGTCTATTCAAAATTCTTTTGGTAGGGCACCAAGTCTCTCAAATTATATAAAAGTACTGTCTTGACATTAATGCCGAAAATCTGAATCTTCTACTCAAGACTAAGTGTAGCAGATCTCCAGACTTTCCAATCTCGGCTTCGACAATCTTCATCTATGCAGTCTGTATTTCAAATACTGCTACCTAGACAGGTGAAAGTGGTGACCTCCCTCGAATTCCTTCCTCCCGCTGATGGTGTTTGATATTTCTTGCTGTTTGGTTGATTAGGTATTTTCATCACTTCCATTTTCTTTATGTTCATTTGAAGTTCTATCTTCGTTGCCTGCCTCCCCTGCCAACGTGTTGATTTTCGTCTGTGCATCTTCGAGTTTGTATGACGTTATACAGGAATAATCCACAGAGTTTAACTATTCTAATCTTTTCAGTCTAACGTACGCCTGTCTTCTCAGTTCTCGTGGCCTGGTGAATGATCCAGTCCACCACCATCAGGAATATCATAAAAGATAGTTAGCAGCTTTGTCTTATTCATGTCTTCATTTCAAAGGCATCACTGTGTTTTCCTCAGTAAACCATTTGACATGTGGCACCATCGTTATATAGCTGGTGAATGAGTTTGATAAAGGTTTTTGGCACTCCGTGGTAATTGAAATAGTTTCTTAACCACATCATTGTAATACTAAAACCATTACTAACATTGTTGTTACAAATCATTTTTCATGCTTCTTTTTGGTGTCATTCCTTACTCTCAGATGAATGTTTCAGTTTTTAGGCATTTTGTGTCTCTCTGAACACCATCTTTGGCACGAACCTTAATGTTTTATTTTCTCAAGTGAAAAAGCCTAAACTATATCAGGTTAGTCCGGTTTCACGATCTTTCCTGTTCTGCAGGTCAACCACAGTCACCAACCCAGTGGTGTGGGTTGGATTCTAACTAGTGTGCTTGAATGACAACGGTGTAGCAGCCACGTCCTGCCACTCCTACTAACAATGCATAGCAACCGTATGATTAACTTCACCACGCCTTCTTTGAAGATTGAGAATTCGTGAACACCTAACCAGAAATTGTAGAGATGATCATGAATGTTAAAGAATAATTTTCGTAGGCTTTTTTGATAACCCCTCCCTTCAATTCCACGAAACTTGATAATTTTATGTTAGTAATATTTTGCTTTTGAACGAGGTCACTTCTTTCAATCATTTGAATGGCATCAATTCAACTACAAGCGTCATGAATGAGGAGGTTAATAACAGCCAGGAGAGGAAAAGCTTGAAAGACGTTCATTCATCTGAAATCAGTGTGGAAACTCCACATAAGGAACAAAATTAAGATTTTCAATACTAATGTCAAATCACTTCTCATCTAATGGCTCGTAGACTTAACAATTGCAGGCTTTTATCAATAGGTACCTTCGGAGGCTCCATACTGAAGATTAGACAGCGAACAGGAAAAGATCAACAACAACAACAACTAACTTTATCATTGCAGTGTACCAACTAGGAATCTGTCACCCAATAAATATATGCCTAAAGAAATAGACGTGAACTGGAGACTGTTGAGTGACAAAGTGCTCTAGGTAGATACAAAAGTTCAAACTGAAGGGGAAACGGCGACTCGATCGCGAGTGTGAGGGTGATAGATAGAGATAAGATCGTATGGTAAAGAAATGAACGCTAATGAACAATTGTGAAGACAATTAAGGCAACCTACAAGGTAGAAGATGAGGTATAGCCGTGCTGTTGAAGCCTTATATTCCAAATGGCACCCAACGGAATAATAATAGTAATATATATGTCTTCCTATTAGGTAGATTCAAGCATAAATATCCCATCAATTTTGTGTTTCAATTAAAAATCGTAGCAGTGATAGTAGTGTGGTGAGACGTGACTATAAGCCAGAAATTGTAAACAGCAATTTTTGTCAATGTTACGTTGGGGTCATGAGAAAAAACACTAAAAAAGCCTAATCTTGAGGAACTCAACAATGATTCCCAGCAGACTTGACGTGTGCAAATATGACTCGCAGATATACAGCCTAACTTTCTAGGAAACGGTCCTAAAAAGGACAGAAGACGTTGCTTCTCCGCTAACAATGTTATTATTATTGTTCCCCTGGGGTCCTAGTGGAACATAGGGCTTCAACTACACGTCTCCACTTGCTTCCGTCTTCTCCTGTACTCTTCACCTGCATCCATGCTAGTCCATACTCTATCAACTCCTCTTCTCCATGTCACCGTTGCACTGACGTCATACTCGCCGCCTCCCTTTCGGCCTCCTTCCACTCGAGCAATGGCCTGACACTCGCTCATTGCCACCCAGCGGCCTCCTCATCGAGCGAGTGTCCAATCCATCTCCAATTTCTCCTGCATATTTGTTGGCTGTTGATTGCTTCTTGTTTTTTGTTTGTTTGTTCTCATAGTTTCTTATTGATATAAGTATAAAACTTGGGCACTGTGGTAGAGTATAATTCCATTATAGATAAGATTTTATTTTGATAAATCGCACAGTGTTTACAGTTATATTAACTGTATTAACTCATAGTTTCTTGTTGTTGGTGATTCCTTCCAGTCCGGCCCGGCCATCTGATTGATCTTCAGTATAGATCCAGCAAAGACAGTTATTGGTTGATGCAGGTCTGGTCTGCAACAGGCTGTCGAAAATATTCTTTGTGAGCCCCCCCCTCCACCCGCTAGCCAAGTTTCTGCCTTATCTGTATAGAAGAACCGACTGACTTGACGTTGTTTGTATTGAAAATCCGACCGAATTTTGTTGTTGTTGTTGATGGTGGCTGAGTGACAGCGGAAGATTTCCAGATTGGTTGTTTCAGGTTGATTGATGAATGTGTTTCTCACCCCCTTCCCGATTCTCACTCCATTCGACATCCTCGTCCTTTCCTTCCCCTGTAGTTGAGACAATGTTCCTTCCCTAGATAAGTGAGTGAATGAAGTGACCTCTTTCAAATCTCTTCCGTTGATGGTGATCGGCGCTGGATGTTGCTGTTGTTGTTGTTGTTGGTTGGTTATATTCATAACCTCCCTTTTGTCTATGTTCATTTGGAGTCTGTCTTCGCCAGCTTCTTCTTCAACCAGTTTGTCGGTTTTCGCCTATATATCATCGATTTTGTGTGACATGAAACATAAATCATCCACACACGAAATCCAGGTCTTCTAGGTTATTAACGTCTATTGGTCCAGGATATCCCTGTCTGTCTTCCTGTTTCCCACTGTCCGACGCATAATCCAATCCACCACAATTAGGAATATCATTCATTGGTGATGGACAATAAGCACCCTTGTCTGACTCCTGTGTTTACTTTAAACACTTCGCTGAGTTTTCCGTTGTAGATCACTTGACATGTTCCGTTGTCGTACAGCTGTTGAATAAGGTTGATGAATATTTGGGCGCTGCACGCGGTAGTACTCGAGTATTTTCCAAATTACTTCGCGGTCAACGCTACCCTGTCGAAGCCCTTCTCAAAGTCTTTAAAGTTGAGGTAGAGTTTTGATCGCCATTCCATGCTTTGTTCTGTGATGGTGATGATGCGTAGAGTTGCAATTTGTTAGCTTTCCGCTAACAATAATATACATAAAAATTCTATAAATATCTCTTGATTTTCTCAATAAACTGTCTGTTACCTGGCTGACCCTTGTCGTCTGTGGCTATAGTAGTTGTAGTATTCATTCAATGTTATATTATAACCACGATATCGAAGAAGTTATCACGGTAAACTTCTACGCATATTTTTTTAAATGCTTACCTGCAACGCTATACATCTTTTCCATTAATTTGTCGAACAGTTTATGTCTTTATTTCGTTAATTGATTTCCATAAATGATGAAGACTATGTTCTTTGATTTTGAGGTCAAAATTATACTACAGATATATATATATTGCATCATTCAAATCATATTAAGGAAGAGATTTCTACACACCTAATGCCTCTCCTACCTTCGCTCACCTATACTTCCCCTTCCCACCCCCTCCCCCCCACACACACATTATATTCGTTTTATCCATTCATTCCTTTCATCATTTATCCTCCTTTGTGGTAAAATGTTTGTCCTGAAACAAAGAAAAAATAGGGAAAGCAAAAAGGTAAATCTATTAAATGGTACATAGAGCTAATTTCATCATTTGGTGTTATCCGCTCTCTTACACTCGCTCTCTCTCTCTCTCTCTCCCTCTATCTGTCTGTCTTATTCCCCCTTTTTTACGTTTGCCTCTTTCTCCTCTCTTTTCAAGCAGAGTACAGTAGTCATTGGGATAGTCTTCAGAGGAAATAATAACGTTTTCCACGTAGAAAAGGTATCTATGTGTGTATGTCAGATAATATACCTTGAAATAAATGAAGAACAAAAAAGGATCGTATATATTGATGAAAAATGAAACCCTAACCACCCAATGCATGCTTTTACCTTGCATGCTTAGTCGTATAAAATATATATATATATAAACTGTTAAATAAGCTAAATGAGAAATGAATGAGGTCAGTGTGTAAAAATATGTTTCATCGAAATTCATGTGAATATCATCAATCAACCCCTCGCTATAAAACGTAAATGCCTAATTCTAATCTAAAAAATGATAATAATGATAATCACCTTTCATTATGACTGAAAACAAAATTGTATATAAAACAGTCAGTCACCTTAGAATAATGAGTCCGAATAGACATCTGTTATTAATAATAATAATAATAATAATAATAATAATAATATTGAACACCTAA